CCTCAAGCTCGTAACAGTACTAATATTGCGCAAAGCTCTAAGCGCGCCAGAGAGATAACCTTACGGGTGGATACTCTCGACTTAGAACTAATGAAGCTAATCGAATTTCTACCATTATTCTGAACGTGGAAATATACAACGCCCCCGTAAGCCTTCTCGCTGGCGTCTGCAAACCCAACGACCGTGATGACGCTATTTCTATCGACGTTTATATGACGCGGTATTTTAATTTCTCTTAGTAAAGGAAGTTCATCTCTAAAACGCTGCCACAACCGAACAATGCTGTCAGACGGCGAGTCATCCCAGTCGCATTCTAATAACCAAAGTTGTTTAATCAAAAGCTTAGCGTATAATACCACCGGAGCTACGAAACCCATGACATCCCATAATCTAGCAACGCATGACAGTATTGTGCGCTTTGTGCACTTCTCTACGGGCGGATTTACCTTAAGGCTAAACACGTCGGACTCTGGTGACCAACACAGACCGAGCACCTTGTGATTTGCACCTTGCACCTTGTGTTTATCGCCGAAAAACGGTGTGATAGTGGGATTGTGTCTAAAACCGGACGCGAATTACTAGTCCACTTCACAAGATCGAATTGACCCGATTTCATGAGCTTTATAACCTCGGCGGTGGTTAGGGTGGCCTCCTCCACGCTATCGACCGAGTATACAAAATCATCCATATATAATCCGCTCTCAGTCGCCCTCTTAGCTTTAGGGTAAGAGGGACCGTCATCGTGGGCGAGCTGTCTCACCGTGCGTAACGCCTGAAATGGGCTCGACTTTAAACCAAAACAAACGCGGTTAAATTCAAACACCATTAGAGGTTCCTTTGGGTTGAAACGATATAAAATGCGTTGGAATCTACGGTCGCATTCACGGACCCCTATGCAAAGAAACATTTGGCGAATATCGGCGGACAGTGCTATACTAAACAAACGAAAAATTGGCTATTATATTAAATAAACTGCTCTGTAAATTTTGCCCACTATAGAGGATATCGTTAAGCGACAGGTGAGTGCTAGTTTTAGCACTAGCGTCGAGCACTACACGTAACTTAGATGTAAGTTTGTCCTCCCTAATGACCCCGTGGTGTGGTATGAAATACGACGGTGTGTCTTCGTAGTTATCTAATTTCGAAGCCACAAGTGATATGTAACCTTCCCTTATATATTCGTTAATGACGCCGTCATAAGCTTCTTTTAACTGGGGTGAAGCGATCATCCTACGCTCCAAGCTGTAGAAACGTTTTTCCGCCATTTGACGCGAATCGCCAAGAGATAAAACATCTCCTTTAAAGGGTAGCGCTACACTATATCTACCGTCGCGATCACGATCGGTCGTGCGGACGTAAATTTCCTCGCATAATCTGTCATCTGAGCTAGCTATGGGTGGGACGTTCACTTCCTCCATCTCCCAAAATTTGCGGACTAACGACTCGAGCGGTTCGACAGCCATACCACAATAAGAGGTTGCCGAAATACTATCCATGATGGGGGCGGAGCCAACGATGACATAGCCCAAGACGGTTTCCAAGGCGTAAGGCGCGGTATGCAAGGAGTTGCCCCTGACCTTATTGTTTAACAAAAGATGAGGGAAAAGCGATGCTCCAATGAGCATGTCTGTGTTTCCAGGAACGGCGTAAGTGTAGTCTGCTAGAGTTAAATTTTTAAATTCAATCATTGCAGAGGTGTCAACCGTAACGGTTGGCAACCGTTCGGTGACCCTATCTACTACTAGTGCATTTATATCAAAGTTAACATTACGATCTATCCGAGAATAAAATTTTAAATTTATATATCCTTGGGTAACTTTACTAGTACCTTCGATGCCTTTGACTACGGGACATGAAAGTGACCTATTTATTACTAAGCCTAAGCGCTGACAACATTGTCGCGTTATAAAGCTATTTTGGGCTCCGCTGTCCAGCAGTGCACGAACGCTTTGTTAGTTCCCACGCGAATCCCTAACCAAAATACGCGCCGTACCCAGTAACACGGTTGAAGGAGGTTGTGCTCCCATATTTCCTAATGAGCACAGAGCGACATCACCAGGTCGACCGTTAGAATCGTTGACTTTAGTAGGGGTCAATTCCTTGTCCGCTTTACTTGATACTTGCTATTTTCAAAATGTAATAACGTGTGATGTTTCCTGGCGCACTTGCTACATACGGAACTAGAATTGCATTTTGCAACTAAATGCTTATCGCTTAAGCAAGCAGACATAGGTTGTTTGTCTTTACTAATTTATAACGTTCGCTTGGTGAATATTTATGAAAAGTCGCACAATTGTATAAATTACCGTGTTTATCTTTACATATGATACAGGCATGCTGAAGTGGTGCCGACGTACCGGTTACGTACGTTAACGACCCTGCTGTTTTAGATGGTTGAGTCGGTCTACGTTCGACGCAGTTTTTAATTTCTTGTTTAACGTTCGGGGAGCGCTGCATCACCTTTATTTGATCTCGTACAAACGATGCTAATGAATGAAAGGAAGACATCTCCGAGCTACGATGCTCCATTTCAAACGCACGCACGGTGTCGGGGTCTAATTTCTTAACTGCAATATGGAGAAACACCACGTCCATAAGGTCATTAAATTTCAAATTCTTAAGTGCAGCCACCGATGCCACAAATTTATCTAAAAACTGCTCTAAGCCGTTGATGTTCGCGGATGATATAGGTTTAAGATCGAATATCTGGTTCAAATATTCGGAAGCTAACATTCTCCTATCTTCGTATTTAGTTTTAAGCGTTTCGAATATTAACAAGTAATTGTTTGCTGTAGGTGTAAAACCCGAGCAAATTGACTGTGCCCTGCCACTAAGTTTACTAATATAATTTTTCAGCGTCCGATAACGATGGGTTATTATGTATATTGTTTTGAAAACTACTGAAGAAGAAGGGCCATGTCTTAATATCACCATTGAATACCGGAATATCTATTGGCGGCAACCTAATTGAGTCACGTGGGCGTGCCTGGATTTCCGGCTTTGCTTCGTTTTGAGGTGGAGACTGTAAGAGTTTCGCCGTTCTTTTCACGCGACACAACATGTCTTCAAATGCTAGAAGCGGTTGGTAGTTCGATATATATTTCGGGTCGATTTGTAATTCCAAATGATTAATTTGGTCTAATATCCTTTCGTAATCCGTCCGCAAAGAATCCACCGTTTTTCGTTTTAATTTTGATTTCATTTCAACTAACTGCCATTTTAAATTATTATAATTAATATTATATTAATCACAATTAATTGCACAACGCTGGAGGATGGACACGCGTGCCGTATTACGTCGTTAAATTGAACACCTGTTACAGCGAGCCGAGGTGAATTTTTATCAAAATTGTCGGGTAAGCGTACAAAACGCGTGTGATTACACTGTTTTAATTACCTAAGCGACTAATAAGCTTTAAATTTAAACCAAATACGTTTTTTTTACGAATTTTAAATAATTTAAATTTTAAACGAACACTATTTAAGTCTATTCCATTAAATTAGAGTGCATTGTCTAAGTAATTAATCTAATAATTCGACCAGAAAATGGTTGAACGACTACTAAACACCAGTCCAAATCCTGCCGAAGTGACCATAAAATGGTGGAGCGACGAGCCTAAGGTTACCGAAGTCCAATTCCCCGGTCGAGCCTTAAACCTATTACGCGAGATATTAACCAAAGTAGACTGTATATGCGAAATGCTTCTTCGTTTACCCAAAATGGCGACTATAGCACGCGGTTTCCCATACAATGCACTCGCTCTTCCCTAAAACGAACTATTATTTGCCAAATCTATGAAAGTAATCCTGCTTGATTAGGAGAAAATAAATTGGAGCGGACACAATTATATCAAGCAGTAACTAGTAAGGAATATTCACTCACCGGGGTGTTGCTTCTGTGCGGCTTGGGCACTAAGTTGCTGCAACTTCTGGAAGACACTCTGGGTAGACTCTCTGGGGCCCCAGCCTTTCTTGTCCGGTGATACGTTGGGAGAGAGTGCGGTGCGCGACTATTTCTCACACGAGGTGAGGCGGGTTTCCTGGAGCTCTACTGCTTCCAGGCTAAAGCGGATATACTAGCGGTGCGCGTGGGCAATAGTTCTTCTATGATACTATTGTCTTAAGCGGTGTGGTTCCAACGACGAGCGCGGCGGGAAGAGAGTGCGCGTCGGCCGCGCGTGCCTTTTTATTCCTTCGGTTGTGATGATCGCGTAATATTCTAGAATCATCTTCTTTCCCCTCCCACCCCACCACCCCGATGTGTCGATAGGAGGGTACGAATGATATCGTTTGGAAAGAGATAAACGATTTGGCAAGCTTATCGTCAAATATAAATAAATACGAATGGTTTTCTGCGCAACCAGTATGAGTTGTCGTTAGATTCGTCTTAATTGTGCAAGTAAGACAGCTTATAAAATTTTTCTCTTTTAAATAAACTTTTTTACTGAGTCGGGCTTTTTATTTACTGTTTGGAATGACACAGGATCCTTCGGCATCCCGAAATGTGCGTACCACGCCGTGCCATGCCGTGCCGTCTGTGAACGCGGGCTTATAAGCTTGCTTATTCTAAGAGGAAAGTTTCTTAAAACTTTGAGGATTAAAGTAAAAGCTCATTTAGAAATTTTTCAGTCGTTTCAAAGCCAAGAGTAGTGATACTCACCACATTTTTTTTAATAAAACTGAGGTTATGAACAAACTTACAGTCCACCTGATGGTAAGTGACCAACTTCAAGCGCGTAACACTATCCCATCTGATAGCAAGTGTAGATGCAGCCGAAGATGGTGAAGCGCGCTGACTCAACAAAAGCCTATTCACTCTTGCCTTGAAAACACACATTGTAACTAGATGAAAAGACAGTTCTTTTCGGTAATAACAGAATAGGGCGGTACATATCCAGAACGACTTTTGACAAAAATTGAGTATCAGCTAGTAAAATATAAAACTATTTATTATAGTTAAAAATAATTTTATACATCTCTATTTATGGTTCAATAACCAGGTGACAAAGGGTGGCGCTCTCACGCTGGTCTCCCTGTGGAAGTCACAATTCGACGACTCGGAGGAGACAACGGACAACGAGTGGAAACAAGAGCAGTTGCAGGTTTTTAAATGTTTCTTAAAATATTTTTTATAGCATTGGGTCATAAACGAGTACACAGTCCACCTGATGGTAAGTGGATGCTGTGGTCCATAGACATCCACATTTATCCTCCACTAATGATTAAAATGCAAATGCATTGGAATGCCTCGATTACAGTAAAAAGAGTCTCCGGTTCTGTACACTTACCATACGAAACGCAGCAGGATTACCTTGCTATTTTACGCTTGACTTATGTGAGAACGTGGTCCTTCCCCGGTCGAGTCGACTATAATATAGCTGCAGCGTGGCTCTACCACATAAGATTTTAAACGAATGTGACAGTTTAAAAATATTTCGATTTCCCAACAACGTTGTAAACATAATAATTAAACGAATTAATATCTTAATTTTCATCTATATTTTATCTATAATCAAGATGTGAATAACCAGTTTTAAATCTGGGCCGATTTGAGAGCGTTACTCAATTGATCGATTGAATTTCACGTACACTTCGAAAGCAATGTCAGGTTGGATTTAGGCTATATTTTATCCTTAAACTCTAAAATAAATGGTTTTGATGATTATGAAGTGGTGGTGGGTCGCTATTAATAGACACATCACAAATTTTCTAAACAAAAAAGCCCAAATCGAAAAATTCAAATTTGTCAAGAACAAAACATGATTTGTATTTTTATGTGCTTTTGGCAATGGAAGGAAAAGGGGAGGTCTCCCACCGGGCAAGGTGTTCTGCCCTGAACTGCTGGAACTTTGATAGCGCGATTTAGGCTTCGATGTGTTTCACTTGTGGTCAACGACAGCGTCGCCACATGCTTATATTTGTTATCTCAGACAAAACTACTAGTACTTGTAAGAAGTTAGTTGTTGACTGACAATCGACAATATTTAAAAAGGATGTTCTTATTATTATAGGTATGTTCCAAAATAGAACCCAGTGTACTGTCCAATGCAAATGACGTCATAAACCGACGCCGTACTGGTGATTCGTTTCAAAACATTTGACAGTATATGACATCTTACATTTGCGTCGTGTTGGAAAAGTGTTGGCGATTATTTTGTCATTTTGTGCTCCAAAGGTCATTATATCCTCTTAAATGGAGATACCAGTAATTATTCTATAATTTTTTGTATTGGAATAAATAAAAACAAATTCTGGCGTGCTTTATTCAGCGTACACACAATTAAAAATAGTTTTAATATGGCCGGATATCTGACACAATATAGCGGCGGCACGCCAGTATAATATGGTGTCAATTAATGACGTCATTTGTATTTGGCAGTATACTGGTAACGCTTCGGAACATACCCTTTATATTTGAATCAATGTCGGACATTAACGGGCCTTCGAGTATTAATTGTATCAAATTCAAATTTATTTTATTTGTGTTGTATACGTAATGAGGCAGAATAGATCTTGTTATCAAATTGAATAAAAATGTTTAGAGGTTGATATGTTTGTGAAGAGAATATTTTTGTTGGTTCAGTCTCCGGAGCACCGCGGCGGCGCAGCGCGCGGCGCCAGCGCGGTATCCAGCTGCTCGCACGCCGCGCGCACGCAGCTGCCCGCCACGCACACGCAGCACACGCAGCCCACGCTGCCCACGCAGACCACGCCGCCCACGCAACAAGTGCAGCCCACACAGCAAACACCGGCTCCACCATTATCGCCCTCCAAGCTAGCGGACCTAGTAAACGAGGTCAGCTTATCCTCATATACTTATATCATCACACTTAAAGTACAAATCTATATTATAAATCATACAATCAAATCAATCAATACAATCACTTTAAAAATCTTAAAAATTAATAAACTAATTTGAAGAAAATTTCTCGCCTTCCCTCAACTACGTGCACTATCCACGTCACTACTAATCCCAACACAACTACACTAAAAAGATCGCATCACGGTCGATAATACGACAAGTGATTCGCCTCTACACTAAACCTCCTCAGGTAAAGTAGACTCTGCGGTAGCAGACCACTAAGTAATCATTTTATTTTATTACGTAGATCTTAGCCATTTACTTTGCAACATAATTTAATCAATACTTTAATTATATATTATAAAAATACAAACTTATTCTCCAATAATCTCGTTTTCTTAAAACTTAGATTTACTTACATGTTAAGTTTAAAATCAACTGCATCTTTCATAACAATTCAACGTAAATAATATTATAAGCCACGCTGATTTTATTAATGTTTTGCGATTTAAAGGTCGTAAGGGATGAAATTTATTTTCCAAATTTGTATGAAATTAAATCTCTTCATTTCACCTCCAAATGACGTTATAAATTAGGCTAAAAGAAGTAAGATCATAGGTAGCCTGTAATTTAAAAACGATATTAGGTATGTTCCGATATACACTATAACCATAATAAGTTATGACGTTAATTCAATATACTATGAAGTCGTTCTTTTTTAGTTTACTGCTTACTGTTTAAAACTGAACGCAATTCATGTATATACTGTCATCCCCATTTTTCGACACTAATTTCAAATGAAAATATTTATCTATACAGTATACTGGCGTCCAGAACGGAACGAACTTTTCACCAGTGAGAGCACTGAGCGGTACTCGCAGTCGTAGACAGAGAAATCTATTGACAAATTGATGCCTTCTTTCGCATTCGCACACGAAAAAGATAGATTTATGCATACATCTTGCATAGAAATGAGACAGAGCGGTGTGATCGTTTGTCCCTTTCTCCATGCCGGTTTTTTTGTTTAGCAAACTACACTTTGATAAACAACTTTGACAGTTCGTAGCGATCTAAGGAGTTTACAAGTAAGTTTAAGTGAGAAAAAAAGTGTTTTGTAAGCTTAATATTGGTGAATCTTGTTCAGTTTAGTTCTTAGAACAATTAAAAGTTTTATCTAAATATGTTTAAAAGTCATAAAAATTATTGTATAACCTAAAACTACGTTATCGTCCTTTCTCACTCTAGGTCACGCTATTAATTAATCTATAGCTTTCTCTGTCTACGTTCGCAGTGTTTATCAGAACACGACCATAGTCTTGTTTGTCAAGTTTATCAAGGTGTCAATCAAGTTGTCAAAAAATCAACATATAGGTTTTGTTTTAAAAGTAGAATAAATGTTTATTTCTTACTTTGCTTTATTTCCAATTCGATTGACTCAAAATAACCCCTGTGTTAACCGTACTATATTACGAGGGACAGTTCTTAATTTGGATTTATTTTAATTATCAAACAGTTTGTGCGAGGTTATTAGTTTATGATTAAATACAATGTTATTTACACTACGGTACAAAGATTTTTTACAACTATTTTAAGTTGACCGTTTCTCTCTTATTTATAAGGCAAAAACTAGTGTTTATTAGATTATTATAGTAATCGCTTCATATCGCTTTTTTCTGCCAACCGCAGCCAATGGGTGCGTTTGGCAGAAAATAAGCGCTTAACGCTAAAATTGGCCAGGACACGATTGCTACTTCAGTAGCGCTGACACAATCCGCCATTTTGCTTATTTAATTTATTTGTTTTGAAGTAAAGTTTATAAGTTTTTTTGTGAAATATTAGTTTTAAGTAATATAATGCATGAATAGACATATAGATGTTATTAAAAATTCATGATTGGTAAGTTGTTAATATGTATACTTTACAAACATATATTTAAATTAGGTTAGGTTCCCCGGTTAAAATTGACTTCGTGTCCTAGAGGAAAATAGCTACTTACGATTTGACAGCGCTTACCGCTTACGATCGCCATTTTGCGTACAAGCGCTTGCTAGCGCTTTTTTCTGCCAAACGCACCCAATAACATTTAATTTTAAGTAAAATGTCAAATGTCAGTTTCTGACTTGATTATTATTTTTATGCTTGACAAACGTAGCGCATTCTTCCGCCAACTCTATTACGTCATCACTAATAAGTTTAAAAAGCAATAAATGTAACGACACCAAAGTTTATATACTATATTAAATATGACATTTTTATTTAAAAAAAAAAAACATGTTTAATCAGGTAGAAATAGTAGACAAGGCAGAGAAAATGGAAGTAACAGAAAAGCCAAAAAGTGAGGGAGCGAAAGTCCGCTGTTGCCTGCACAGCGCCGGCATCGACGCTTTCCCACGCCTGAAGCCCACGCTGCCCAGGAGCTGGACGCTGCCGGCTATCGGTACGACATGTTTTCTCAGAGTTCTCTTTATAATTTATAATATTTTATTAACGGTGTTGAGTCTGATACAATAATAGTGTCATCCGCGTTTTTCAAGGACCTATGTTGGGTCCCTTATTGTTCATATTATTTTTAAATGATATTAGTAACTGTTTTTTCATTCAAAATTTATAATATGGCAAGTAAACAGAACTCGATTATTTGTCTTATCTGCTCATGAATTTAGAAATCGTGTTATTTATTTAGTATTACAGAATATTTGGTATTTTGGTTATTTTTTTATTTTTTAAAAAAAAATGAATTTGAGAGAAACTCCGAAAGAAGAGGAAAGAGGTATCGAGATAAGTATAGATGAAATATGAAAGCAATGAAAAGCATGAAAGCAGGTAAGGCTGCCGGATATGATAGAGTTTCACTCGAAATGCTAAGGGCTGGAGAGGAAGTGGTGGCAGGCCTGCTGCACACCTTGTTTAATTTATGCTGGGAACTGAAGCGGGTACCGGTAGACTGGTGCAAAGCCGTGATAGTCCCAGTATATAAAGGAAAAGGGTCGCAACAGGACTGTAAAAACTACCGTGGCATCAGCCTTCTTAGCATTGTGGGAAAACTGTACGCTGTGGTACTGATTGAAAGGGTCATGAAAGAAACTGATAGAAAAATTTGGGATGTGCAAGCGGGATTCAGAAAGGGAATGGGATGTACAGATCAAGTCTTTTCCATGCGCATGATCGCGGAGAAGTTTTTGGCCAAAAACCAAAAGGTTTTTTGTGCGTTCATGGACTTGGAAAAGGCCTATGACAGAGTGGATAGGGATGTGCTATGGCAAACACTGAACTCATTTGGGTTGAGCGCTGGCTTGATACAGGTATTGGAGTCTCTTTATAGGGACTCTAGTGCTTGTGTTAGGATCAACGGGGTCTACTCGGACTGGTTTGACATCCATAAAGGTGTCAGACAGGGCTGTGTAGCTTCCCCGTGGCTGTTCAACCTATTTATGGACAGTTGTTTGCAAAATTTGAAAGTTGAAGAATGCGGATTAAGAATGGGTGAGTTAACCGTCAAATGCCTTTTGTACGCCGATGATCAAGTTATCCTTGCGTCGTCGGCGGCCGAGTTGCAAATGATGGTTACATTAATGAACAGATCATTAAAAGAAAGGGGTATGAAAGTGAACGCAAGTAAGATGAAGGTTATGGTTTTTGAAAGAGAAGAAAGTGAAACGATTTGTGAAATAAGAATTGAAGGGGAGTTGATCGAGCGAGTAGATGTGTTTGTATATTTTGGCTGCGTATTTAGCAAGGATGGGAGATATGATGAGGATATAGAACGACGAGTGAATGTGGGAAATAGAGTAAATGGAGCCTTGCACTCTATTGTGAAGAGTCAAAATGTGTCAAAAAAGGCACGTTTGGCAATTCACAATTGGTTTGCAAGATGATGTTGTGACCAGGATTAAGAAAGGAGTGCTTCGGTGGTTTGGTCATGTGGAAAGAATGAATGAGGAAAGAGTGACAAAGAAAATTTATGTTCCAGAGTAATGGCAGAGTCGGAAAGGGACGTCCTAGGCGAAAATTTATTGACCTAATTGGCGATTTATTGAAAACGGGCCAAATTAGGAGTACCCTTAACCGACGAGCATGTATGCGTAGGTATGGATGTGAAGGAGGCGAGAGAGGTGTGTCAGGATCGTGCCAAGTGGAAGTCTGTAGTCTCTGCCTACCCCTCTGGGTGACAGGCGTGGGTGTTTTATGTTATGTTATGAATTTGAGTTTTTTTTATAAGAAAAGTAGTTTTAGTTAAGATGTATATTTTTACTCTTTCAAAATAATCAACAGAAAACTCACTATTGTATGTATGTAGTCAGAATTATGAGCACAACTTTATCGATCAAATTGTGAAAAATAGTGTGGGTTACATAATTGGTTAACTGCATTTTTATAACTCTGTTTATTATTAAAATATTGTGTAATTTGTTTGTTATTGCAAAATAAATAAAAAGGAATAGAATACACATTGTTGAAAATATTTTAATACGTCAGTAATATTTAAACAGAATTTCCGTTGTACTGGCGTGTTGACCTTGCTGGGACCGACACTCGGCTCGGACCCGACACGGTTTAACGTGAGTCATCCGTTTGTGTGAATCTTGAATACACAGACAGACGAAAATTGTAAAAACCACTTGATTTTTTTAAAAAAAATATTAGAATTACAAACACGACTTTTGTACATATTCATATATATGTATAGATTATTATATTCTTTCGGATGATATCTTTGGCCTTTGGGTTTGTTTACTATGATAGCCTGTATTCCCTATAGCTAGTCGTTACTACGTGTGAAATTGTTCAGAATATCTTTTGTTGCGGTTATGAACAATACCGTGTAGCAAGTGGTTTGTGGTGCAGGATCTCGCGTGCGAGCGCTGCGTCCTCCGCTGCTGCAGCAAGCGTCGTTCGATGGTGGTGCTGCGGGGACGCTGCGGTACCGCCTGGACGTGATGCGAGGAGTGGCAGCCAGGAGTGACGGGCCTTCGCCCGAACCCTCGCCCCCCAGGGCCTCCAGTCTGCCGGTAGGAATCAAAATTCGGACATGTGCCCTGGAATTTCCAGGATATTCTTCTTTTGATATCTTAACTGAATCGATTCTGCAGAACAGCATCCCGTTTCTTCAAATAAATTAATCGTACCTATCATGATTTCGTGAAGTGTTAATTCTTAGTTAATCATAACAAATGTTAAGAAAAATACCTATTTCTATTTATAATTGTCATTATAATTTCTAATCTGGTTTTGTAAATAATTAATTCAGAAAGTACCAAAAATTTGTACTGAGTATATATTTAATCACTTAAACAAAAAAGTATATTGCATATCACGGAATATAAAAAACAGGAGGAAATAGCAAAATTCATAATTTGTACCAGAACCACATTCGCAAGAAAGAAATGTGTACCAACAATTGTGCACTATTTCAATAATTTTCGCGTGGTTTGCTATGGGTTTGTTTAGATAGATAAAAACTAAAAGGCATTAGGCATAGGAGTATGAACCGTAAGTTCTCGTTGAACGCCACGCAAAAAATCGAGACTTTCCGTTCGAGCCATGGGGGTCACCGGTGAGCCTTACGTAGTTGTTCCATTCAGGTCTCACGGGACTCACCGGTGAGCCGCGCAAGAGGTTCACTGTAAACGGGTCTCACAAGCCACAGATTGCAGTTATTAAACAAAACACGTATGGAAGTGAGCCGCGTGGCCCCTGGACTGCTCCAGTCGACGTGGTTTTCAAATCCCATAGAAACTTGTAGTTGTATCAAAGGTAAAGTTCTAAATACGATCTTAGTGACGTGCATTATTTCTTTGTTTGTATAAATAGCGCGAATAAAACCAAAAGAAAATAATTATGTGTTTATTACATTAAAAATAACTAAAAATTATTTAATCATCGGTTAATCGAACTTAACATGGTACTTCTTTTACAACAAAATCAACTTAAAATAATTAAATTCTTCAAAAACAGAACATAATAATGACGCTTCTTCTGCGAAAAAAACTAAACTATATAAATCATCATTAAATGTAACTTATAATGACACTTGTTTTTAGAATCAAATTAAAAATCAACTATTATAAAAACAACATTATGAATGGATTCTGTTGAAACAAGGTAAGCAAGGAGAAGGTTGGTCTAGACATTTTTGGCAATATGTTAATACCTTTAGTAGTAGTTTTTGATTTAACTTGTTTGTTACCCATGATTGGTATGTTGCCTACGTAACCTTAGCAACATGTCCTCCGGACGGTTCTTGTCAAGCCCTCTTTCTTTTCCAGAGTATGTTTCTTTCTCCTCGGTCTTTCACTATATCATCACCATCACCTTCTTATTTGACCAATTGAATTCCACGGTATTTACTTCCTACTCAGATCTATATTTCTGGCTGTAAGCGTTCTTCCTCGATGGCAACTCCGTTTAAAATGTTCACGAAACAAACAAAACTAAGCAAAAAAACTTACACGAAACTCGAACGTGGAAAAAAACAAGTTTTTCTCAGGTACTAAAGCTTAGAGCATTAATATAATGAAAAGCAAAACAAAGTTGCGAAAAATTATGGATTACGTGATTTTGAGTTGGCCCCAATGGAAAGTCATGATAGGCCCACCGGTGGGCCGCGCGGCGTTCAACGTGTTAACAATAGAAATCATATTTCCATTTTATCAAGGAAGTTTCTAGTATTAATTAGCAATTTTAGTTTGTTAACGTTAGATGTCGCAGTAAAACCGCGACTATTTAAAAACTAATCTCCAGAAATTCTTTATAGATATCATTATCTATTAATCCAAGAAGCTTCCAGGATTGACAAAAAATTTACTGTTTGACGCTTGACGTCGCAATAATAAATTCACGCTATTGTAAGCAAAAATTAAATAGACATAACGTTGACTTTGCCCTACCTAACCTGTACTGCTACGTGAATGATGTTAGTGATGTAGTTACTCTGCCTGAGCGTGATATGACTTATCGATATACAGTCAATATTAAAATTTAGGAAAATATGTGAAATTGCCTCCGAAATTGCCTTAATGTACTACGTATATCCCCGTAATACATATAGCCGGCATATAATTAGTTGTCTTTAAGGAAAATTTGTTAACAACGTATTTGTTTAAAAATTGTCATTTTCACGTTTCAATATTAAATTTTAAACGATAATGAATTCGGATACCAATATAGGTCATGATATTAAGATCAATTTTATTTCAGCTACTTTCCAAAAGGAGTAATACTTAACTTCTTACTTAGCTTAGCAAACCTAACAAAATGTTCATTCATAGGAAATTATACATCCAGTACTTGCATTAATATGTTAGTGGATAATCAGGACTGTGATAAAATTTTATCGAAAACTCTATTATCGGCGTGGTCACAACACTAACGCAGTAATTTTTATTGAAAATGTATTAACAAATGTACCTTAAATCAATGGTATAAGGTTGAATATTACTTGTAATAAAGGCAATTTGATATTTTGTCCATATTTATTCACGTTTCTATGGAAACAAGGAAAAATTACTTGTGCCTTTAGTACAAAACACCTCCTTTCGAAACATTTTTCTTTTTACTTTCGTTAGATGTTTTAACAAAATTTAATCATTTATTAATTTTTAACTTTTTTTATTTTAAGTTTAGGAGCAAGTGTTTAAGAGGGTAGGGCTAACCGACTGGCAAACAGTTTTCCAAGAGCAAGGTTTGATTAAATTAGAAAAAAATATAACAAGAACGGGGAATTCGATTCCGAACCTGTTTTAGAACTGAGTATAAGAAACGAGAAACCGGATCGGTTTCTGTCAGCCTTAATCACACTCTATGATACAGCTGGAAGGATCAGACGTAACGTGCGTATGCCTTGCAGGACGTGTCGCGCTCGGGCAGCGCGGAGGCGTCGCGCGGCTCGCCGGCGCGGCGTGCTGGTGTATCGACGGGTGGGGCGGGGAGCGGGGTGGGCGGCGGCGCGGAGAGCGGGGCGGGTGGCGGCGCGGCCGAGCGCACGGTGTCGAGCCGGCTGGAGATCCGGGTGCGCGCGCACACCCCGCCGCAAGGCTCGCCCGCGCGCTCCACCGCGCAAGGTCAGTGAACACATTCCAGTACTATGCATGCCCAACTTCAAACAAACGATTCTACACATGCCTTCTCGTCCATTTGGAGTCCACTTCTATACTAACTGCTATAATATGCAATTTATTTTATGGAAATATGTCTCAATATTTTTTTTATAATAATATGTACATGAATAATGTCAAATATTAAGTAATGACTAGGGATGGGCCGAATATGGCTTTCACCGAATACCAATATTCGGCCGAATATTCGCTAAAACTTTTACCGAACCGAATATTCGGCCGAACATTATTTGGCAGGATAACCTCGGGACCCAACCAATTTATCTCGAAACTTGTTACCGTAAAGCGCGCGGGATTAGCGCCGGACCCTGCCTCTCGCTCCCCGCCACACCTGACAGTTATTGCATCATCTAGTACTGAGCAAATTGCCGGCACATGCTTATGTTTTGACTATTCTTGTGATAAAAAAGTAAAGTATTTCTTTATCACAAGAATAGTCAAAATTGTTTTATTCTTAGTGAAAATTGATAATTATATGATAAAAATGAGCGGTAGGAGATTTACTATTTGCACTAATTTTAGAGAAACTGACGTCCAAAGTAAAGTGAATCAATGTAATGTAATGTTTCTTTATTTGATTCCAAAAACATTTTATCAATTTTCTATCTGCTATAATCGGAAACATATCTACAGTGCCTCAGAAACATAAATGTATAGATTTATGCATTTGAGGCACTGTAGAGTAAGTAGATTTAACCCATAAATAAAATATACTTTCAACACTAAAAGACATCACATTACTCAATTCGTACAATTTCAATACATTGGACATTATGAAAACAAATGTTCGGTGATTTAGCCGAATGTTCGGCCGAATACGAATATTCGGTAAAACTGCCGAATATGCCAAATACCGATTATAAAACTAATATTCGGCCCATCTCTAGTAATGACGACTCTGTTTGTTTCGACGTTAATGTGAGCATGAAGTATTCTACATAGTACCAGGGAATAAGGCACTACCCATCTATTATGTAAAATAATTTCTTGCCATGTACATCCACTTTGCAAGGGCGATCTTCGTCGATACAACGGGTACGCTTTTTCCCCTGACATCGTTTGTTCAAGGAGCCCTCTTGGATATTTAGAGCAATGCCCGTCCTGCACGCATGGAGACTTCCTGTTTAGCGCGCCACATGGTCCATACGACCCCATAGAGATGAACCATACGACTTGAACAGTGACATGAAAAATATCATGTAAATTTGGACCCTCATTATAGTTACGAAATTCAGCACTTACAACATTGTCAATAGTATCGGGACGAATTTTTTCCTGTGCAATATCAAGTAAATAAGCAATGCCAAATATTTCATTAAACTAAGTTTCCGGATTTTAATTATAATTTTGCACTGCCTCCTCGACCCTAAAAACTCACTGTTACAAAACCTACCAATGTAATTTACATGATTGTCTTGTACTTGAGTAGGTTGCAATATTTAAAATAAATGTACAATACTAAATAGCTATCAATCAAATGGATTTGTCATTTAAATTTATAATTCCGAGTTCCACAGGGATACCATTTTGTACCCTTACTTTTCCAATGTTTTATTGATAACATTCTCTGGATGAGACGTACGCAATGTAAATAAAACTTTGTTCACCAATAGTTTGAAATATAACATTTATGAATATGACTTTAAACTGATACAAAAGCAGTTCATAGAATGTTCCGTGAACATGATGTTATAAATTGCTACTTTAGTAACAAAATTCTTGTAATCACTTAATCTTTATAAAACCTTACAAACAATATAGTATCAAAAGACGGACTTAATACTAAAAGCATTCTCTAAAATACTTACTATTATAATGATATTTTGTATGAAAGATTTGTACCTTTCTCATATCAATTATTCTTATTCTAGCTTATATTTCACAAAATACATTAAATAATTCATAAAAACTATATACTTTTTATATGTATTCACAGTAAGAATACACTCGGTGGTGAGCGGCGGGGAGCCCATCCGGTTGAACCACGAGGAGGCTTCGGTATACTACGACGCCACCGAACACCGAGACAAAAGGTTTGCTTCATCATCGTCATTACAGCCCTTCACAAGTCCACTACTGAACATAGGCCTCCCCCAAGGAATGCCACAAAGCACGGTCCTGAGCCACCTACATTCAGTCAACATTCATTACAGTTTTAATATTATGATACGGTTACCGTTATAAATTACGTAGTATATTCATTACAGTTTTAATATTATGATTCGGTTACCGTTATAAATTACGTAGTATATTCATTACAGTTTTAATATTATGATTCGGTTACCGTTATAAATTACGTAGTATATTCATTACAGTTTTAATATTATGATTCGGTTACCGTTATAAATTACGTAGTATATTCATTACAGTTTTACTATTATGATACGGTTTCTGTTATAAATTGCGTAGTATATTCATTAGTTTTAATATTATGATACGGTTTCCGTTATAAATTGCACGTAGTATATTCATTACAGTTTTAATATTATGCTACGATTTCTGTTATAAATTGCGTAGTATATTCATTACAATTTTAATATTATGATACGGTTTCTGTTATAGATTGACTAGTATATTCATTACAGTTTTAATATTATGATACGGTTTCCGTTATAAATTGCGTAGTATATTCATTACAGTTTTAATATTATGCTACGGTTTCTGTTATAAATTGCGTAGTATATTCATTACAGTTTTAATATTATGATACGGTTTCTGTTATAGATTGCACAGTATATTCATTACAGTTTTAATATTATGATACGGTTTCTGTTATAGATTGCACAGTATATTCATTACAGTTTTAATATTATGATACGGTTTCTGTTATTAATTGCGTAGTATATTCATTACAGTTTTAATATTATGCTACGGTTTCTGTTATAAATTGCGTAGTATATTCATTACAGTTTTAATATTATGATACGATTTCTGTTATAAATTGCATAGTATATTCATTACAAGTTTAATAATATTTGCAGATCTTCAACGCGCAGTGTAGAAAAAAGCCAAAGTCCTGCAGTTGAGAGAACGCGTCTTGATGCAATACAAGACAGGTGAGCAAAATATTATCTAACACAATTTAGAAATTCATTTTAACTATCAACAACTGGTGCAGCAAATAGGACTTCTAAATAGTATGATTTACAAGGAACTCCGTTCCTCGTGTTGTAAACAAACTCTTATTTTTTAAACCTTAAAGCTGCCTATGCACCAGAGCTGTGCGAGGTAGCCAAGCAGTGTGCGTGAAAAAAAAAACACCAATATGATTACTTTATTATCTTAACCTCGCTCATAAAAGCTCTGGTAGAAAAGGGCTTATTGAGGAGAGGTACATACAAAACAAGCGAGAAATGTGTGTGAAGTGGTGTGAACTACGAGTCAATTGATCCCGCAACTTTACAGGGCGCAGGTTCGGCCGCACATGGAATACTGTTCTTATCTCTGGGCTGGGGTTCCCCAATACCAGATCCTTCCATTTGATCGCATCCAGCGCAGAGCGGTTCTTCGAATCGTCGGCGGCTGAGCTCTTTCCGATCGGCTTGACTCTCTAGCACTGTGAAGAGATGATGCTTCTCTTTGCGTATTTTATCGCATTTACCACGGAGAGTGCTCTGAGGAATTGATCGGACTAATTACAAGCGGAGAATTTTACCATCGCTCATCGCGACAATGTTGCTACGATACCGTTTGCAGTTTTTCATGGGCGGCGGTAATCACTTGCTATCAGTTGAGTCTTGTCTCCTATAAAAAAATCCTCGCACCGCTCAACTTCTACGTTAAGCTTTAATGGAAACACAGCCTATGCAAAGAATGCAGATCGTCCCGGAGGAGTAAGATTAAATGGCTCCCAGCCTATTACTACACTGTCTTCTCTTACCCTTTAAACCTTAGTGCCTTGCAATGGCGTAATAGAACATGTAGGTAAAAGAAACGACGGGTTGCATTCCGGGAGTGCCGGCAGAAGTGAAAACTTGCATATTAACGTTGTGCATTTTTGATATTTTGGAATGGTTAGGGAATAATTTTGCACGAATTGCTTTAATTATCACACACAAACATTCGCGCAAGCGTCCTGCGCCGCCTAAACGAAACACAGCAGCAGGCGCAGGCATACATTTTCGCCGCGCCGTAGAAAGAGAGGGGGATACGTCCTCCCCTACGCCGCGCCGGCTGTCTCTCTCTCTCTCTGCATCCGTCTTACGAATTTTCGATCAGGGTCACGTGTCCTGACGCGAGTTTAACATTTTTTACCCATTACAAAAAAAGTGTACAACGCCGCTAAAGAAGTTTTCACTTCAAAAATCCCTATTTATTTGGGCATCCATATATAAAATGAAGTGAACAAGGCACAATGAGGAATATTCTCGTTTGTCGACAGAAGCAGTTCGGTGACGCGGCGGGAGGGAAGCGGGGATGCTTCGCACAGCCTCAGAGACGTGAGTCCATAAGCATAGCATATAACAATAATCGATTTGACATGTAGTAGTGGCGTAATTGAATTATCCATCGTATAGATTATACAACATTTTACAAAAACCCTGTGATTCCTGTTAAATGGGTTATCAGTATCAGTATTCAAACGTATAGAAATTACTTTACTTCAGAAAACTTGATCGTTAAAAAATAAAATAAATATATACTGAATAAATGTTTACAACTCTCAGAAATGAGAGGAGGCCTGTGCCCCGCCGTGGGACGTATATAGGCTGTAACATTTAACTTTAAATGTTTATTTGCATATTGTATGTGGTTTTATTACCTCTGAATTAGCCGGGGAGTAAGAGTATAATAAAAATTTATTGAAATTTTATTTTACTTTAACGGAAACCACAGGGTTTTTGTTACATGTTTTTTTTTTACATCCACACGATCTGGATGCTTGACTGACGATACGACTTAGGAATTTTCAAAACAACGAACTTACTCTGCTTTAAAAGACTGGCAACGCACCTGCAATTCCCCTGGTGTTACAGTTGTTCATAGGCGTCGGTAGTTACTTACCATCAGGTGAACCGTATGCTCGTTTGCTTCCGCATGATCGTTTGCAGCATTCTATAAAAAAAAACTGTGGATATCGTGAGAGGCGACTAACTAAAAGGTGCCGTGTGTCATCATCATTCTCTAAGCCATTTCCCATTATCTGGGGTCGGCGCAGTAAATCTTCTTGTTCCATTCCTCTCTATCAGCCGTCATTTCCATACTTACTCCTTTCATTCTCATATCACTCTTCACACAATCGATCCATCTTTTATTCGGCCTTCCTCTGCCCGTGTGTCCTTCCACATTCATATTCAACACTCGTTTTGTGACATGACTTTCATCCCTCCGCATCACATGCCCAAACCATGCCAATCTGCTTCCTCTCACCTTTTCTACCACTGGCGCTACTTTCAGGCTTCCTCTTATATACTCATTCCTTATCTTATCCATCCTTGTCACACCACACATCCATCGTAACATTCTCATTTCATTCGCATGCAGTCTATTTTCATCCTTCTTCTTGACGGCCCAGCATTCACTTCCATACATGACGACAGGTCGGATGATCGATTTGTAAATTTTCCCCTTCAGCCTTATTGGCATTCGGGGATCGCACGTTGTGGCTGTGACCTGTCGCCATTTCATCCACCCTGCGTTAATCCTATGCTGCACAGCTCTATCTATTCCGCCGTCGCCTTGAATGAGGGAACCGAGGTACTTGAATTCTGAGCAGGTAGGCAGTATAGCGCCATCCAACGACATGGGTACAGGACTGGAAAGACCGCCGAAATCACAGCACAGATATTCGGTTTTGGATCTACTGATCTTCAAGCCAACACTTTCCAGCCTCTGTTGCCACCCCGTCAGTCTGCTCTGTACCTCGATGCCTTCTTCCCCGACAAGCACGATGTCATCGGCAAAGAGCATGCACCAGGGTGCCTCATCCTGCAGGTCCGACGTCAAAGCGTCCATAATCAGTAGGAAGAGGTAAGGGCTCAATGCCGACCCTTGGTGCAGCCCTACCGCCACATCGATACTGCCCGTAGTTCCCGCGGCATATCGTACACATGTACGGGATGCTCTGTACATAGCACGGACTAACCTCACATACTTCCCAGGCATACCTTTCATCTTTAACGCCCACCACAAAACCTCACGGGGAACCCGATCGTACGCCTTTTCAAGGTCGACAAAAACCATGTGCAGATTTTTATGCACGCGCTTATACTTTTCGCACAATTGGCGTAATGCGAAAATGGCATCTGTCGTACCTCGACCGGGCATGAATCCGAACTGGTTTTGTGTTATCTCACACTCTTCTCTCATTCTTTTCTCTATTATTCTTTCCCAGACTTTCATCGTATGTGACATGAGTTTTATTCCCCGGTAACTGCTGCAGTTTTGAACGTCTCCTTTGTTTTTAAAAATGGGGACCAGTATACTACTGCACCATTCCTCAGGTATTTGTTCTTCCTGCAACAATTTACCGAAAAATAAACTCAACCACTTCCATCCATCCGCACTCAGCAACTTCCACACTTCTACTGGTATTCCATCTGGGCCGACCGCCTTCCCATTCTTCATATTCCTAACAGCCATTTTTACTTCTTCCACACTAATTTCTCTCACTAAGCCCATATTCACTGGTGGGTTTTCAAGCATACCATTCCATTCATTCTCCTCATTCATCAATTTCTCAAAATACTCCTTCCATCGCTTCTTTATACTTTCATCGTCAGTCAAAATCCTTCCAGAATCATCTTTTATACATTTTACATGTGAAACATCTCTTCCATTCCTTTCTCTCGCTTTTGCAATTTGAAAAAGTCGTTTTTGACCTTCGGGGCTTTCAAGGGACCGATATAATTTATCTTGCACCTCTGCCCTACAAATAGCAACTTCCTTCTTTGCTCTCTTCTTACATTCTTTATACGCCCCTCTCTTACTTTCTTTTATGGAATCATTCTGGTCTTCTACGCTCTGCCATTCTTTAAAGGCATTTTTCTTTTCTCTCAAAACTTCTCTAATACTTTCACTCCACCACCACCCATCCTTATCTATCATACGCATCCCTTTTGTTTCTCCTAACACCTTCCTTGCCACACTTCGGATACAATCAGCCATTTCCTTCCAGCACTCATTCACACTCATTCCTTCCATATCACCCATCTCTATCATCTTGTTTACAACTAGCTCTCTAAATTCACTTGCATACTCCTCCTTATGCAACAAATGCCACTTTATTTTGGGTGGGGGACGATCCTTATGTTTGTAGAGGCGAACAGTTAAGCAGATGTCAGCCAGCAGAATTCGGTGCTGGGATACTAAGTCTTCACCTGGAAGCACTTTGCAGTTTTTTACACTCTTGATTTGGTTCCGTCTTATCAGAAGATAGTCGATCTGTGTCGCGTGGTGGCCACTTTTATAAGTAACAAGATGCTGATCTCGTTTTTGGAACCACGTGTTTACTACAGCCAGGTCGAAAGCACATGCTGCTTGCAGAAGAACTTCCCCCCTCACGGTTCCGCACTCCGTACCCCCATCCACCGTGTACTCTTTCATACCCGTCATTCACTCTCCCTACATGTCCATTAAAATCTCCTCCCATATAAACATCCTCACTCTCAGGTATTCCCATCATCATACAATCAAATTCCTCCCAAAAGTTCTCTTTCACACTCTCTTCACAGCCTGTTTGCGGAGCATACACACTTACAACATTCACTACTTTGTTTTCAATCATTAATTTAACAACTATCATTCTGTCATTTACTCTTTTCACATCTGTCACTCGTTCTTTCATTCCACTATCTAACACAACTCCTACTCCATTTCGCTTCCCATCACTTCCACAATAATAAAACTTGTATCCTTCCCCAATCTCTCTTGCTTTATTGCCCTTCCATTTTGTTTCCTGCAAACAGGCAACATTCACTCTTCGTCGTTTCAAAACATCTGCTAACTCTCTTCCTCTTCCAGTCATCGTACCTACATTCCAGCTTGCAAACCTCACTCTGACATTCTTCTCTCTCCGGGCTCGCCTCTTACGTCGCACCCGCTCCGTAAGGTGCGACAACCCTTGCCCACTTCCCACAGGAGCCGGGTGCTGCCCCTGCGCGTCGCCTGCGGGGTACGCCCTAGCCCTGTCATATATCCCACAACTCGTAATATTCATAGGTTTACTGCATGGGATTTGGCAAAAGTTTTACAGTTGGCCGCCTGCCTGACACCAACCCTCTTTGGGTATGCTATTGTTGGTAGAGGAAGCTACCATTTTGGGAAAAGGAAAAAGAAGGTTGGGGGTAGGAGCGCAGGTGTAAGGATACTGTTATCTCGGCAGGAAAGGTATGAGAATAACAGTAGCTCGGGGAGCCGGGGTCGCGTACCCGTATTCCATAACAGGATCACCGGAAAGGTAGACCAGCATGAAAACCCCCTGACTATAAAATAAAAGGTGCCGTGTGTGAAACATCTAATTGTGGAATTGTTAATTTACCTGTCAAGCGTGATTATTGAGACATTTCAAGAATAGGTTTAGAGACATATTGTTGTTGCGTTGTGCCTCACCGACCGAGCTATTCATTCGAAAGAGACAACTGCATCGCGGACTGACAAAAATTCTGAAACTTTTATGTAGTCAAATCATGATCCCGTAATCTCCTTTTTACCCGGCTGCGCCAGAAGCAGTGTAATGCTTTTCGAGAGAGTATGTATGTACACGTACGTGTGTATGTCTATTTCTTTGACATGCTCTGTAACCTAAACGGCTTGATAGATTTTAACATATGGGGTAACGTTTAAATCATCTTAGTTGTGAAAGTGACATAGAGTTAGTATTTTTCTCTTTTCAGTTAACTTTTTTTACGAAGTCGTGGTTTTTCAATTACTGTTTTAACTATTGCGCTTGTTTCAAATCATTATGATTATAATGTTTCTTTGTTTTCTGAATGTGTGATAACGATTGTATTACTGTGTAGTTTTAATTATATTGTTGCGCGCCTAAGTTGATGTCTGGTACCCTGGCACTAGTGCCATCTAGTGTCGGGGAACAAAGTGAGGAGACCTTTCTGGAAAATGCCATTCCTGAAATTTCCACCAACAGCGCCATCTAGTATCGAATAAAAGAACTAAGCTTTCTAGAAAGCCTCTAACTCGAGGGGGCGTGGAAGGCCTATAAAAAGCCCTCGAAAGCCGCGATCGGGCCAGTATTGAATTGGCGATTCAAGCGAAATAAAGTTAATCAGTGTGATTAATTATTAGTGTGTTTTTAGTTTTAATTATTGTGCGGTAATTAAAGTGTCAATTTTGGTAATTCAATCGGCAGTTTTTATTGTCACGAACCCTAAGCTCGTAACAATATTATATGGTTCCTAGTTTCAAAAGTAATTAATAGACACAATGGGTAAAACAGTAACTAATTAAAAACGAACGGAACAAAACTAATTTTATGGGTTTTATCACTTGTAATCATGTGAGTAAAATGTCCAAAACGTCAGTAATTAATAAAGTTTAAATGAAACGCGATAAAATTAGTTTTCTTTCATGGGTAGTTACAAAAATCGTAAATTTAAGAAATCATGAAAAATCCGACTGCGAAGTTTACTGAAAATTGAAAATATATAGATAGATAAAATAAAAAAAAATAAAAATATAGGTATAAACTTCCAGAAGTAAAGATGAATCTAACGATACTCCAATCCGTCAAGCTGTTTAGACTATATACATATAGTCGAATAAAATGACATGCTGGTGGTGGGGTAAAAAGGAAGAAGCTTCTAAAGTTGACTAATTACGGTCTAATTTTTATGAGTAGGCGGTGTGTAGTATTTATAATTAGGTTTGTGTGTGTGTGTGAGTTACAGCGTTCGTCGTCGCGCATCCCTGTGGCGACGTGCGGTACAGTCGGCGGCACAGTGAGCGGTACAGTCGGCGGCACAGTCACGGCGGCCGGCCGGCTGGCCAAGTGCGCGTCGTGGAGCGGGGACGCGCCGCTCTCCTCCGACCCCAACGACCTCACGCCCGGTCAGTGCATCGTATACTGTTATTTCCTCGTTTTTTTAAACGTGGTAAAGACTCACTTTCGTATAATCTTTGTGCACCCCGTAAACTTTCTTGGCTTAAATTGTAACATCATACTATTTCATAGTATTCACGGATCAATTACTTTCGTTACGTCATTGCCTAACTGAGTGTCAAATAACTCGGTACATAATGAGATCACGGTCAAGTCAACATTGTCAGTCGGCCAGGTGAACGTACCTAGCTGTGTAACGGAAGGGAAAGAGCGGAGAGACGCGTTTGTCTTTACCGAGTACGAACAACTATTAGATACCTAAATCTGAAAACGAGCGCGAGCGCCGAGCGCCACCCACTGCTTCCGTATTCAGTACTCCTTTACGAATGAGTGCGTGCGTATAAAGTAGTAGGAGCTCCATATTTATGAATGACAATCAATAAATATAGTGCATTTCCACACATTTTGAATATAAAGGATAAAATGTTTCACTTTTTTTTTCACCATTCGGTTATATTACCTATTCTCAACCTCTTCTGCAAATTTGGCTAGTTATTGCAAAATAACCCTGTATAGTGCTTGTATGTTTAAATAATACTTACGCAAGTACTTACACAAAATATTAACGTTATATATTTGAAAAAAGTTTAAAATGTGTAAAGGTAAAGAGTACATCACTGAGGTATTGTTTTGTGTATATACGTACTCAAGAATCCGAAAAACTTATAATTAAATCGCAATTTTTCAATGATGATGATACGTTGTGATCATGTGCGTAACATATAAGTTTATATCGGTCCCCCTAGCGACATCTTGTGAGCGTAATATTATTAGCCATTATTGGAGCTTTTTTTTAAATACAGAATAAAATTTACAAACGAGCACACAGTTTACCTGATGGTAAGTGGATACTTTGGCTCAAACATAGTAAGCATTAACCTGCTATTTCACGCTGGTATCCTGTGAGAGCGTGATCCTATCCTGGACTCATCGTGCTGCAACCATGATATAGTTGCAGCGTAGACCTACCACGTATAAATAAAAAGTAGTGAAGTGGTTTTGAAGTGGTGCATGTGTGTGTGTGTGCAGCGCTGCGGCGGCGGCGGCAGAACGCGCAGGAGAAGTACGCGGCCGACCCGCAGCGCGACCTCAACCTGCGCTTCGCGCGACCGCGACACCGCCAGCAGCCACAGCACCACCAGCAGCCGCAGACACACGCCAGGTGAGCTATCGTTGGAAATGTACCACGTGTGCCATGTAGTTACGCCCGTGGACTTTTGACAAGCTGTAAGAATGCTGAAATGATTAAAGCATCATTAGCAATCTTCTTTGTCTTTTAGCTTTTTAACAACGGTGGAGCCATGCGGCATGTTTTGCTGTTGCACGTATGGGCCTGCTCGAACCGGTGTGGTACCACGACCTCAATACCATAAAGTAGAAGCTCTGTTTCTGCGTTTCGTCTCGTGATGGCAAGTGGCCAGAAGCTCAATTCCCCACCACCCCTGGTAGTGGCGAATTCCTCGTTGAGCATCCACGACTAAGCTATTCCACTCCTCTACTGAGCGTGGATGTTCAGTCTGACCCGCGTATTCTAGGGGGATGGGATTTCTGCAACATCAGGGGACTTCACTCGAACCTAAATATCGTCCACTACCATCTGGAAACGGCTAAGCTGGCCTGGCTCTTTCTGACAGAGACGCAGGTGTCCTCTCCGGCCGACACTTCGTATCTCTCCTACCTGGGATACAAACTGAAATACTCTTTTGTGCCTCGGGCTAGAGTTTGCGTATACGCAAGAGGTGACAACTGTACTCGACGCTTCGGCAGTCTTGAAGGTTCGGACCTGTCCATAATTTTGCTAAGCGCAGACAGCGACGACCATCCGCGCGTCTACGTGTGAGGCACCCGGTATGGGTCCTATAGCGGTAATGCCGATAAAGACTGACTCATCAACCACGTCTCCCTGTTACAGCAGATCCCGTTCATGGAGATTATCCAGGGAAATCTGTTTATGACTTTGCCTTGGCATATGGTCCGACACAACTGTTTACTTCGCCTACGCGGATTTCAGATGTGGGGAGGATCTGCACCTTCCCCGCTGTTACCTTCCGCTGTCTCTTAGCTCCTTGGACCATTGTCCGGTCCGGAGTGTGGTGCCACTCACGCTAACATCGTGGTTGCATTCTGCAGGCTGCCGCCATGTTAGGCGCTATCGGTCGGCTGATTGGATAGGATACGGTTTTTTTTCCATCCTACCCTTGTGGGCGGGTTTGTTTCTCGCTGGATGATCGACGTCGATGGATGCTGGTAGCTTCTGCTTTATGGTGTTCCTTAGGAGAGGTCTATGTTCAGCAGTGGACTTGAGATAATGATGATAACGATGATGAAATTGGACCAATTTTCTACAGAAAAATCTTTTTTATTTTTTCTGTATTGTTGTTTAATTTAATAATAGTTGATAATATTTTTTGATTTTAATTTATAATTAGATATTTTAATTTAAAATTTATTTTTTTAATGAAAGATAATTGTGTCAGCCATAAATCAATAAATATAACTGGTTCTAGGGCTATTGAGTCTGTGTCTACTTTACATAAACGGGATGCGGACCATAGGCATCATCATCATCTATCCTCGACTAAGAATGAAAATAAACATGAGTTATCATCCCTGAAGACTACGAGGAATGTCCCGTTTTTAGTAAAAAGGGGGTCCATTTCTCTACATATAACCATGAAAAACACAGCAACATTGAGCTGCTATTTTACGCTGGTACTTTACGCCGATATTCTGTAAAAGCGTGGTCCTACCCCGGTGGAACCGACCCAGTAGTGCTACAAGCATAATACAGCTGCTGCGTGGCTCTGCCACGTGTAAAGATCATCAGTCATCGGTAGTTTTGAAGCATGTTGTTTGTGCACTGTCAGTAGGAGCAGCGCTCGTGGCGTGCCGGCGCTGATGCTGGCTTCTCCCCCGGGGTCCGGTGCGTCCGGCGCGTCCGGCTCATCGTCGTCCGGCTCGCCGCCACCCGCGCCGCCGCCCGCCCCGCCCGCCTCCGCGCCGCACAACGCCGCGCGCGCGAGGCGCTTCCGCCCGCTCTCCATCGCGCCATAGGTACACGCACGCATACACACGCTCACGTACACGCACGCACACGCGCACAAACACCCCATTCGCAGTCTTCCCAACTACACCAACACAGTAGGAAACAGGAGGTCCTCGAAAACGACTCTGACTAACCATTTGGAGCTCGAGATCCAATGGCCCCTTCAAAGATAATGTTGACTGAATTATTTTAATGTTAATTGTATGTACAATAAATTCAATTAAATTACTCTGATGATCTCTTATATATACGCGAATGCTACGCGCAGGATAAAACTAACTTTACAAATTAACTCAAAATTGCGCCATGGCGCTACAAAATTGGACTCGCCGAGTGATCAGTGAAACGTGCGCCATCTGCACGCCACACTCACAGGTACATACAGCGTATTGACTCATTACTCACTCAGCAAGTGAGTGAGAGAGGGTATGAATGTGTTCGTTGTTTTTTTGCTTTTTTTTTTCATTGTTCGTTCCTCAACATCAACATCTTACACCTTTCGAATTTTCCGATCCTGTGCGCAGTACACTGACGTATTATGTCGCAATTGTGCGGCGTAGCGCAGTTACCCATGTCTAAACTGTTGGTTGGTCCGGTTTGACATTTGACATTGCGCTATTTTGTTTTTGTAGCTACAATGGTTTCTGTTGGAATATTTAAATAATTTTATTTTACTCTACAATTATATCTTAGTACCTCTTTAGTATTTTTTCAATATGACCGGTATTTTCTCAGAGCCCCCGCAATGGATTTGTGGAGCGTTGGGGTTCCGCGAAGCACATTTTGAGTATGCCTGCCCTAATGTATCTAAAAAACATCCTGCTTAGTAAACAGCACAACTTCTAGTTTAAGATATTCTCTTTAATTATTTATAAAATATACATCAATCGGAGCCCCTTATGTGAATTACTATATTATGTTGTTTAAAAACATTTACATAATTTGGCATCATATGCAAATGTAAACATATCTCAGAACTGGCATGGTATTTTACGCTGTTTTAACCCCTCTGGTTCCTTGTGAAGTAGTTATAACAACCTTTTTATTTATTTAAATGTTCTTTTCCAGGAGCTGGGCACCGACTGTGACGTCACAGTGGAGAATCCTTTCTGAGAGTTATCTGACTTCGTGCGCAGTTGTGAAGTGCACACTATATATATATATATATATATATATATATATATATATATATATATATATATATATATATATATATATATATATAACGAAGATATCAACTTTGTACCTTGTTGTGCTGAATCGCTAGCGAACAGAAATGTGCGCAAAGTCTAAGAAAGCATATTCCAAGTTGCACTAAATTTTTCATGCCAAAACTCAAACAAATATTTTAGAAGTAAAAAATGGATCCTAAAGCCTCCGCTTCTATCGTCGTTGTTATAAAATTAGAAAAATTAAGTTAAAATTAAGTAAAAAATCACACTATAGTACAAATTGTTATTGAGTGATTTGAAAAGCTTCAACAGTGTATTCTACACTTCCAACTGAATACATATCTCGAACGCAACGATAATTGTGAAGTGTGGAGCACAGAGTACTTTTTAGTGTGGAGGGAACGGACCACAGAGTACTTTGAATAAGAACAGATGATGCTGCAGCCATTTGCTTTCTTACACCGTGTGCACGGACTGTATTTATCGAGGTCATTGCTTATATTAAGCCAAAAGTATATAATTATTTTTATATGCCTACTTATCGTAATAAAAACGTGATTAATATTTACATTATTATGTTACCTAAAAATTATATATTAAGTATATTTTTGGCTTAGTATCACTAGAATTGTGGCGGAAAATTAAAGTGTACTGGGCTATTTTAAACCTTATTGCCAATAAGGACGTTAATAGCGTAATTCGATTACGAAATTATCGCACCAATATAGAAAGCATGAGAGTGTTGCCATACTTTTTCTATTTATGAAACCGGTAATGAACTGTATATATATAACCCATGGAGCTTAGAGAGAACGAGAACGATTGCCGTAGAAAATAGTGTCCCAGAAATATGGCACCATAAGTGCAGCGCTGCGATCGCGAAGTTCGGTCAATAAAAGTCATTTTCAGTCTATTTTTCCGGTCAGATGCTAAACCACTTGCACATCCACGCACAATAAAATATTTCTCCATTTTTTAACATTTCTTTTTGTCAAAAATTACATAATTATGGAGTATGAAAATTTTCGCACCAATGCCGCGAAGAAAATTTGTACATTATTCAACTAACTTCATCTACTTATACTCATAAACAGCTAACTTCGCAGTCACAACTCACCGACGGCGCCGCTATAAATTCTGCAAATTTCAAGGACAGGCGGACTATACTTTAGTACGTAGTGATCGTTCTCCTGTTCTCTAATCTCCATGATATAACCTGACCTAATGAGTCGTCAGATGTCGCTAGTTCCGACTGAGGGAGGATAATTGTTACACAGTATATACCTATATACACAAAACAATGCCGCTTTGTACTTGTTTGTTTTTTTACACGCTTTTTTGTGGTTTATCCATTTTTATCTAATTAATATAAAATATAACTAATATTTTAGTTAATGTTTCTTACCCTTATATTTTCCTAACAATTTTGAACTTCCACTCCATTGAATCTGTCAAATAATTCACAAAGTGGGACTGCCCTGGTGGCAGAAAAAGTTGTAGATTATCATTAAAATAAAGTTAATTGAGATGCCTGAAATAAAACCGACATTCATATTACTAACTCCTTCTCCTGGTGCTTTCTATATAGGCGATTGATGTTTAATTTAATTTCGTGCCTGGAGGTGCTTAATGGTTTTTAATAAAGTCTAGATCTCTATTAGATAGAATTCTACTTAATTAATCTAAAACGACGTAAGCGGCGCGGGAGGAGGCGGAGTGCTTGAAGTGTGAACAAATTTGTTGCGGACAAACTTGTTGCAGCTTCTAGTCGTTTGAAGAAAGTACCGATTGCAGATGTTCACGAGGCTAAATTACTTAATTCGTCTTATTTATATATTCTAAAAAAACTATTTACTTAGGCAATAAAAATTGCGTTTGACAGATGTTGAAAGAAAAGAAAAAAAGAGACAATTGGCACATACAATCAAAACAAGCAGATTTATATGTTATATAGATAGGAATAAAAAACGCAAGAGTATTAAATAACAATACTTAAGTCACATGATTGCGATCTCTTATACATACACATATGAATATATTCGGACATAAACCGGATATTGTTGAATTTTGTCAATCTCGACACTGTTCATACACAATAAATGTAAGTCACAGAAGGAATAGTTGGAAACAGCATTGATCCTGTGAGAAATTCGGTTGACTTTAAATACTCACTTTAAGTAACATTGTTTAAATTTTAATTGCATGCATCACAGATCAATGGTTTTTATGTGCTCGTGCTTGCAACGTCTCGATATATTATAATACATGGTCAATAAAGAATGTAATGAATATGTGCCATGGTTGCCATGGTGCGTTCGAAGTATTTTATTTTCAAAGAAGCTATTTTGTTTTTGTACATTATACATTTTATATTTATTAAAAGCAACCTAAAAGGTGCGTGTTACATACATACTCTTTGTTTGAATCTTTTGTGTGCGTGTTTTTTCACAGCCATCAACAAAGCAGCACTGATCTGCAAAAACTTTAATGACTCTTAATCAATGTCAGATATCGGCTGATACCAGTTGTTATAGATTCGTTATCAGCTATGGAAATTATAATGCCATATCCGGGGTTATTTAGAATATTTTATAATCGAATACCTTTATCATGTTGATTTCTAATATTTACGCTAATACTACAAATAAAATAAAACTAATTTTACGGATTTTATCGCATTTAATTTTAATTTATTATACCCCGAAATCTTGGGCACTTTGCAGCACCCATAGTAACATGGGTCAGAAACGTCTTAAATAAAAAAATTAAATGCGATAAATTAGTTTTATTCCATGATTATTAAGCTATTGCATAGCTTCTATCGCGGGCCTTGAGCGCGGGGACCGAATCCAGAAATTCCGTAACGAAAAAAACCTCACGCTCCCCACTCCGACGCGCAGGGAGGTATGGCTTTGAAAGCCGTGCATCGTCTAACGTTGTTTAAGTTCGGCAGACTTCGGCACGGTGTTTGTGTGCGTGCGACTAGACGTGGTGTACACTAGCTGCTAACTCAATGATAAAAATTCCTGAATAACCTACATGTATTGTAAGATATTAAAAATATTTTAAACAATATTAACTTCTCATTTATTCAATAAAAGAGAAAAAAATTGTTTTCTTATCGGTCACCACGCTCAAAAAGTGTAACTTGATTTAATATCAAAGACTTAACTGCATAAATAAAATAAATAAATAATTATAATTGCATAAGTTGATAAAAAATGCTATGCAATAGCTTTACCGCGGCAGTCACCGAGTGCCACACGTATTTTTTTTCATTTCATCATGGTTTTGTTTTGCTGGATGTATGTGAGGGAAACTTCGTTATTTTTGAGTAATGGAGGAAAAGTATGAAATAAATAAGCGTGTCTTAGTGTATTTTGGAAGTGAAATTGTCGTTTATCGTGTGCATGTGGTCAACTCTTCTATTACGCATTATCGACATAGAATATTTATTACGTAAACTATTGTAATAGAAATACAAACCTTTTTTTTTTCAATATAGATTATAAATAATACTTATTAAAGTTCGGATAATACCTCCGGCTACAATCAACAACACAAAACAAATGTATGGTTAGGTAGCGATCACCTAATTTCCAGGAGTTATTATCATCCATAAACTCCTTGATATTATAATAACCCTTTATGTACAATCTATGTTTGATAAAGCGTTTGAACTTGCACTGATTAATTTCTATTATTGTATTAATAAACGGACATTATGATTATATTTAGAAAACATTGTCTTCTTTGCAATTTGTTGTGTGGGTAAAAGCTTCCCACAATCTTGACTAAGCCTGAAATGATAATATGTGGTAATTTCATTTAGTATA